CTCCAGATTATGATAAACGGGAATAATGTGACCAACATTTACCTCAAAACATACATTAAAAAATATGCGTTCTTTTAGTTTTTAGTATGAGTTTTACGGCACTTGCAACAAAATAAGGCCATATAAGTGCAGAAGATTAGAGGTATACAAGAGAGTAACAAACACAAAAAAGAAGAAGAGATAAGAATGACACCCGCCAACCACCCACCCCAATGTCTAAATATTTTTCATACAACTGATCCGTTACACAATCTCCCCTAAATTTGTTTAATTGCTCGCCCTATGGTGGACCAGAATTACACCAAAGTGCACAATTTCTAACATTATATTTTGATACCAGTCTATGTGTCCACCCAGTACGTTTACAATGCTAAAGAGTCAACAAGTCTGACTTAAAGCTCAGGAGAAGAAGAGAAGTTAACGTTAACAATTCTAGCCTTCAGCGCATAGCGCTTGCAGTAGCAGCAGAAAGAAATTTAAAGGAACATAAAACTGACTTCAGGCAGGAGGTGAACATGTCTGACTTGAATCACATTCAGCCTAAAGTGATCATTCACATGTCTGAGTGGGTGCCTAAGGTTAATGTTCATATGTTTGACTGGACTTTGAAGTTTTAATTCATGATGTTTGGCTGAATGCTTAACGTAAAGATTCACTTGTCTGCCTCGATGCCTAAAGTTAACATTCACATGTCTCACCAAATGTGTTAGTTAACATTTGCAAGTGTGACAGGACGCCTGAGGTTGACATTCACACATCTTACACAATGCTCAAGGTTAACGTTCACAGCTCCAGTCCAAGGTTAACATTCATATGTGTCACGGAAAAGCCCTAGGTTAACATTCGCATGTCTGACACTACAGTTAACATTGGAACATCTGACATTACAGTTAACATTTCATTCTAACAGAATGTCAAAGGTGAACACATTTACACTTCTGACGTTACAGTTAATATTTAAGTCTAACATTACGGTTAACATTCACACTTCTGCCATTACGGTTGACATTCGTATGTCTGACTTTACAGTTAACTTTTGCATGTCTGACACTACAGTTAACATTCACATGTGTAACAGAATGCCCAAGTTTGAAACTCGCACATCTGACATTACGGTTAACATTCGGACTTCCGACATGACAGAGTGAACATTCTAGTCTAACCTGCAGCTCGTGACACTCCATCTGCAGCTGCTTGAGGCTACTGTGAGAGTTGTGCCTGGAGGTGGACGGCGAGGCTGACCGGCCGTGCTGACTGCTCGTCTGACCCACCGTCTGGTTGTACAGGTTCTCCAGATAAGCCTGGGAGGAGGAGGGGACACGGAGAGTAGGGAGTCAGTTACAGTTTGGTTTTGGTTTTGATAGACATTTTATGGAACCTGTTTTATGCTTTAGAAGACCCCACCAGAGCACCCGCCAACCACCCACAATGGAACTTACAACACTAGTAGGCCATATAAGAGCCTAAGACTTTA